AATGAGCAGCTGAATAATTTAAAATTTAATTTGTCCATAAAAATTAAATATAAAGTGTATTAAATCTGCATAAATATATAGGAATACTTGAATTGACCGAATTTGGCTTAAACTATACCATAATTTGAAATTATGTTCTAAAAATATTTTTTGTTGTTCCATGCAGTGCGACCTCAGAGAAATGACTTTCAGCTCGATTTTAAAGTTGTCGCATTCTTAGTCTCCGACGTCTTGTTCGATTCAAAAACACGACGTAGCAGCAAAAAAAGGAAAAAAAAGGTTTTCCTGTTCAACGTACAAAATCTGTGATGCACGACTTTTCGTGTAGTGCTGTTTATTTTGTGTCGTTTTTTTTTTTTAAATTTAATATTTAGTCATCAGTTGATGGATGCGATTGTTTTATTTCACTGAACTACATAAAAATAATAATTGTTTAATGTCATTGAAACTAAACTCGTGCAATTCAGTAGGCTACAAACATGGCGCAGCGGCAAAGACGGATCTTTATTTTATTTTATTTTATTTTATTATTTTGCAACACAAACCAAACGTAGAAAGTATTTTCTCTTTAGGCGGCTTCAGTAACAGATTACTATTCGATCCACTATTATAAGATCAGAAGATGTCAACCTAACACTAAGGTGGCAATAGTAACATCATAGTGCGTTCAAAGTTAATTGACACATTTATATCCACTGTGGTTCACAAGAGCCACCTTAGGGTTATTGCTAAATATTTGCAAGGGAAATCAAGAGAGAATACCTCATTCTCTCTTGGTGGAATTTATTATATTACGCCATTATAGGAAGAAGAATACATGTACGTCAAAAAACCAATCGAGTTATCTTTCTTTCGCCATCATGGATTCTCTCTTGTTGTTATACATATTTTTTAAATTTATTTTGTTAATTTGCGTTTGTTAAAGTTGTTGCTTTGTTTTCGTGTAAGAAAACAGCCGACATTTCGCGACGCCACCACTGGTTTCCCAGCCACGACGTCGAGAAACGAGCGCAGGAATTCCATACTGATGACGCGTCACCGCCCAGATCTGGGTAGTGCTTCTGATTGGTCGGGCCGCGTGTGAAATTTGATTCAACCAATCAGAAGAAATCAAGGAGTCCTTCCTGGCTTTTTGGTATCTTAGTTGAGCCCTCGACATTAAAAAAGCAGCTGCTCTTGCAAATTGATTGGCGCCAAAAGAGGGCGCACCTTTTAGTTTAATTTATTTCTTTGATACATTCTGCATATATTACATTCCTCATAATTATGTCATTCCGCAAGCCATGCCACATGCCATTCCGCAAACTCATTCCTCCTTTTACCTTCAACGGGGGAAACCAGTGGTAGCGTCGTCAAATGTCGGCTGTTTTCTCAGGCAAGCTCTCTTTTTGTTTTGTTTTTGTTTTTTATTTTGTTTTTCTAATAAAACGGGCAATCGAATACCTCAAGAGTGATCATGAGTGGAAGTCAACCATTTCACCACATGTGAGATCATCCAGATTCCAGAATCTGGAAAAATTTTTCCTTATGGAATCCGGAATCCTGGGCTTCGAAATCTGGAGTTCAGCTCAATGAATCAGGAATATCGCTAACGATTGGTATCCGGAATTCAAGTTCCACTGACAAGGAATCCGGCCCCTGGAATCCAAAATTCAAGACTGTCCTGGATTTATTGGTATAAGGCGAAAAATCGTTTTAAAAATACAGTGGCGGATACAAGGGAGGGGCCCGGGGGGGCCGCCCCCCGTTTACTTTTAGACCAAAGTGAGGCTCCAAAGGCCAAAATAATTTTTTTTAAGACCGGGCTCCCACCTTATCTCAGGGTCTCGATAACCGCCCTCCTGCCCCCCCCCCCCCCCCCCCCCCCCTC